TCAGCTCCGTATTGGCCATCACCTCCTCCGTCTCTGTGACTAGGGCTTAGTTGCCTCTAGGTGTTAGATCAGGACTTGGAGCCTTCCGACTCCCACTCCTGATGACAGCTTCCGGGATGACCGGTTTCGGGTCGGGAGTACGAGAACGTATAGGTATCTATTAACGAGAGCTCCCCAGGTTGCATCCTGAGGGCACTGCTCTTACTGTCTTTATCTTCTTCACACTACTTGCGAACCTCAGAGTGGACAGCGTTTCTTCCTGATCGTGTCGGGCAGGGGATACTGCTGCTAGCATACAAGTATGGCTATTCCCCGTTAGAGCATCAGTAAGGAGATATCTATCATACCAGGTATGGTGATACGATGGAGGTTCTGGCTACGTGAGCTTGCTCTGTCGAAAAGGAATGTGTGATGCCGAGCTCGCCTTTGTGGTCGAGAGCTTCGATATGACTTGTCCCAGCACCTATTGCCCATTCCGATGGGTTAGTATGTTCTATCCCTACTGACAGACTTGTGTTTATTGATTGACCCTCCTTCATTCTCTGACCCACAGCGCCACTCCTCTTAGTTCTCTCGGAGCCCGCTAGGTCGATTAGATGCACCGATGACGTCCCTGTGCACAACATAATGGCTGGACTGTCTAGTTGACAGTGTCAACAGCAGCCCTCCCCTACTATGTTCTCGTTGGCTCGCGCTGAGCCTCTTCCTCAAACGTATAGTAAACACACTATGACTCCTGCTGCTCTGACTATTCATGTTGGTCTGCGATACGACACTGTATAGGGGACATGTGCAGGAATACAACCTGAGCAGTGGCTCGTTGCTTAAGCCCTAGATTGAGGAACGACAGGCATTCGTCCAGAGAACCGCATGCTGCCTCAGTAAGGTTAGGCACCTGGGCGAAGGAGTTTGGATTGTCAGCTCGACATCATCGCCTACGAAGACCCCTTTGGTAGGGTGTTGATGTATGAAGAGCTTCTTCTTCTTATTGGTGTTGCCGATGAGCTCATCAACCATTACACTTGGTGGGGGCGGGGTGTTTGGTCTTGCCTTACCAGGTGAGGGCGGCTTTAATGCGCTAGGGGACTTCAGTTCATTCAACTGAACCATACATAAACTTTCGAGTGTAGCCCTTGATGTAACTGACTGATCGTCGTTGCAGTGCAATAGCATCCGGTATCGTCTGTGGATCGAGCAAATCTCGGAGTTGTTCATTATATATCTCCAAGAAGGATACCGTCACACACAGCTGTTTACCTTCATGCTTTTCCTCTTCCTGAGCGACTGACTGCCTGTAATGTTCACAAGATATGAGCACATGTCCTACTTTTGCAGCGTTAAAAATATCATCTATCAGATATCGCAATACGCCAGGTGAATCTTCAGTGCCTGTACCATGAGATATTGACCTATTTGGTATCCCAAGACACGTTACCGAGGATGCTGTGAGTTTTGCCACTGCCTGTTTGACCATAGGCAAACAGGCAATTGTTGAAGCCGTTAAGAACAGAGTCTCTAATAGGCTTCCCAATGCTAGCGTAGAGTTCGTCCTGAGTCAACACGTTGTGGCCGGCTTCCTACTAGAAGTATGTCACCTGGGTGATGCTTGGTGGGA